GCGGGCCCGGCTGCTTCCTGCCGTTAGGCCGCGTGCTCACCTCGGGCGAGGCCCGGCCCCGCGCACGCGGCCTCCCAGCGCGCCCCCAGTTGCCCCGCATACTTTCAAGCGCTGTGAGTGTCGAGCCTGTTGGCTTGTCTCCAACGAGACTGTGCGGAGTGCAGGGCTGAGGCCCCGGTCGTTCCCTCACCCCTACCTCTCTACACCGAGCCCAGCGCCCGGCGCGCGGGAGTCCGAGAGTCCGCAGCGAACGTTGTGGCGGCACAGTTGACAGCACAATTCAATCACACAGAACGACGAAGAGCCGCTCAACCCAAAACAGTGCGGAAAAACGCTTTTTACGAGGAGCGGTAAAGTACCAGTGCGCTCTAAGTTGTCTACAGTAGGGATTTCTTCCCTTCCTTCATCCGAGTCCTTGTCCAAGTCCGGGGGTACAGTAGGTGTGCAGTTAACAAATGCGTGCTGAATAAACAAGATTCTTCACGGCTTCTCTCTACCGGCATCCCTTCCCTTTCAAATAAGCCCTATTAACTGCCCCCCCCCCTTTGGTACTAATACTGCACACCCTTGTTTTCATGTTGCTACTTTCATTTGTAATTATATTCCAGGATGGAAAAACCGTATTTACATCATTCTTTTTTTCTTCTTCTTGGTACTGGGAATCGAACTCAGGACCTTGTGCTTGCCCGGAAGGCGCTTGTGCCTCTGAGCTATATTCCCAGCAATACATCATTCTTACATTTAGATTGCTTCCAGATTTTTTGCTACTATAATTATTACTTAGAAAACAGGTTTAGCCTCGCCTATTTGTGGTACTTTGCGGCACTTAGTTTCTTAATCAGTAACACTGGAGATCGAGTGTTCCTTTAAGATTCTCACAGAGCAAGATGACTACACGAAGAGAGGGCAATCTGAGAAATAGTTTTTCCTGACAAAGGCCTTTGACATTTTCTTCCCGGCCATTTAAGGAGAGAACTGGTCAAGAGGCATCAACTGGTTGTGAAAATATTGAGGAAATGGCTGCTTCAGGTTTATTCCTCTGGCTTTTCCTGAGGATCCTCTCTTTTGCAAAGTATGAGAATTTCCCATGACTACTAATTTCCAGCTTTTAGTATAACTGACTTACTGAATAATGAATATCCACTAAATAGACAGCAGTGTATCTGAAAATGACAGGGAAAATACCAAAATAATGAAAATAGCATGGCACTACTTTTCTGTAACTTCTGAGCCAGGTATAAACACAAGTAAAATATCAGGCACAAGGAGCTGTGCAGGGGAGATGGATATACGTACAAAGCAAAGGGAAAGTAGTTGAGTGAAGGTCCTCTTTAAGATCCCAAAATCTTTACAACTCAGTATTTCACAAAATTTACGTATTAAAGTCAGCCACTGCATATAAATTAGAAAGCTATTGGGGAAGCAGCTCACTAAAGTTCTGGTTTTAATTCATGAATGTTCTCATTTCTAGTTTTTTAACTACATTGCCATTTGACAGCTATAAAAAGTGTGGCCATACAGACAATGAAGCTGTTTACAGCTGGTACAGATTTGGGAAAGGGTAGATGTCACAGAGAACGCCTTTGGATTTTTTCCTCACTCCTTTTCTGGCCCATTCTACCCAATCTCCCAAACTACTTGGGTGGAGGAAAGGGAGCTATATTCATACAATATTCCTTCCTTCCTTCACTTACGGAGTCCTAAAGGGCTCTTGATGTGAGCCGAGCCAAATTCCTTTTGTGGAATTTGGAATTTTCTGCTCTTTCAAGCAGAAGAGATACAAACTCGAGTATCAGGAATAATCGATCCAATAAGGTAACAAAATGTCTAGCATAGTTTTCTCCATTGTGTGGCTACTATGTGTCAACATTACTCCCTGCAGTAGGTCACTGAAGAGAAAAAGCCCTGTTGTGCTTGTTCTATTCATACAGTGAGACCTCAAAGTTCGAAAGGCCAAATGAGGTGATTATAAAATATGGCGAATATTTAAATTTTAAAAATTTTATGAAGATACATTGCCATTAATTCTCCCCAAAATATGCTCCCCCTCACTTCAAACTCACTTCGTCATTCTTACCAGGGGCCTGGTGGGTGGGAGGGAGTGTGTGTGGGCATTTGGGGCACTTGTCCTGAGCTAATCTTGAGCCTATCCTGCACAGTTGCTTTTAGCTCCTGCAGTTCTTTGTGAAGCAGTTCTGCAAGTCATCTTTTGTGTCTTTTGACATATTGTTGTGGCTGTATCCAACAAGGTAACAAAATGTTTATCTTTCATGGTCCTTTTGACTTTGGTAAAGACCCAGAAGTCACACAATGCCAGGTCTGTTGAACAATGTGGGTAAAAACACATCCCTGTAATGTTTTCACAAGTATGCCTTTCTGTTGGATGGTACTTGGCAGCAGCATATTCTTGGGTCACTCCTTGTAGACACACAACTGCTTCAGAAAACGGCAAGAAGGTTTTCTCCCTCCCCTCGCAGTGGCACAGCTTCCTGGGAGCCCTGCAGAGGCCTGGTGGGTGTGTGTGTGTGTGGGTGTTTGGGGCATTTGTCCTGAGCTCTTCAGCCTGTCCTGGACAGCTGCTTTTGGCCCCTACAGCTCAGGATGGGCCCTGTG